ACCGTTGTTCACCCAAAAAGCCGAACGACGTTGCCCGACAGGGACACCTCGATTGAGCTCCATTGCTGAAGTACCCACATGGCAGAACACCCAGCTCGCGATGGGCAGTTCACGCCACGAGCGTAGGACCCTGATCTAGGTCATACGTCCGACATGCGGGCTACACTCCGCACAATCGACGCATTTCGAAGTGTGTCGATCCATCAAAGGGGTCGAAAGGATATCTTCGCTCGAGAACAAAACTTTATCAAAATATTCATTACGAAAATGACAGTCGAACATTGGCCTAGATACGAGTAGATTATAGCAAAATAAACATCCATCGAAAAAGACAAGCACAAAACAGATTAATGGTGAACCGACCAAGAAGGCCGATGATGTTCAAGGTTACAATCCATGGCACAACGGCCAAAAGAAATCAAGAATTAGCACGGGCACGCAGGCCCCAAAAAATGAACACGGGCGCACAGGCCCCAAAAACAAATAAAAACCAATACACGGGCACGCAGGCCCAAACAAAAACTATACGCTAAACATCCCCAGGACTACTGGCATCCACATCAGGAGACTCGGGAGGAGGCACAACCTGACCATCAATAATCTGGGACAGAAACCCGACTCCCTCGGTGTTCATGCCTGGATTTAGAACAGACAGCTGACTGACTGCAGCCTCGAACCCGTCGGTTAGGGCACCGACGCAATCTGACTCGAGGAGGTGGATACGAGCAACCAAATATGAACGGGTGCGCAAAGAGGCTATCTCCTCTGGCTCGTCATCAGCAGGAAGTATAGCAGCTTTTAGCTCCTCGATCTCCTTGGACAACCGTTGGTTGTCGCTCTCCAACCGTTCCTTGTCAAGTTGCAGGCAATCCCTCTCCTTGGAAGCCTTCTCGGCCTTCTCCTTCTCCCCTGACAGTAGGTCGGCCTGCTCACGAAACATCTCCACGGACCGCTCGAGGGTCACCTTCAACTTGCGAGATTTGGCAGCGAAAGCAGCCTTCTCCGATTCTAACTCCCTAACACGGTCCGAGGAATCTGATCCTTCCCCTGCAAGGACCACAACCATCTCGGACATCTTCACCACACCGACCATGCTGGCGGCGAGGTGTTTCCTCCGGCCTTCTTTGTCGATCCGTTTAATGATGTCGGCCTCATTACCAGACACTGTCAGAGGAAACCCCTCGAAGAAATCCTTTTCTGCAAAGCAAGGCGGTAAGCCAAAGGCCCGGACAGCTACGGGCTCATCACCAGTTTCTTCTCTGCTCTTTATCCGATCCCTTTCCTGCCAACCAGCTCGGTCTGTTGTTCAGCGTCGGGAGAACCCGAGGACCCACTGGATGCATCTCCGCCCAAACCAGCGGGCGGACCCATCCGCGTGGCCTGCGGTGCTCTCACCAGTCTCTTGCTTATCTTTTTATCCTGGGTCAACTTCAACAACCTCTCTTGATGTTCCTCCATATGACCTGCAAAGAAGAGCGAACTCGGGTTAGCTGCAAGCGATTATAGGCAATGAAAATGGAACAACAATAAGAGCAAAAGAAACCTAGGAGATCTACAGCCTGCCCGTAGGATTGACACTCAACGAGCGCCTTGGTATTGATAGGGCGCGCCTCGAACGTCGGGTAGCCATCCTCATCGAGAATGTCGTCCCCTTCCCCCGTGACCCATCGAGCGGGGAAAAATCCATCAACAAATTTACAAAGGACGGCATAGGCCTCCTCGTCCTCGGCATTCATACTTCCCGCAGGGGTATGATAGTGCCCGGTGCCATGCTCATAATGACCTGAGCACCAATGAATAGGGAACTTAGAAATACGCCCGACAGTGGGACTACCCTCAGCATCCAAAAGGGGATCCCCGTCCCCGTCGACCACCACATTTTCCGGCTCGAATAGAGAATCCAGGGCCGTTTGGGTGGCCGGCTGCAATACATACCATTTATCTTTGAAATCCCTCATCGAGTCCATGTACATCCTAAACAGTCTCTTCGACTGCTTAAGGGATACCCAACTATGTTTGCCTCCTCGAGACTGACGTTGCAGATGAAAAACCCTGAAGAACAAGGGAATCGTCGCCCCAATTCTCAGGAAACGGCAGGTTAGCTCGAACGCCCGGAGGAAGGCGATCGTGTTGGGGTGAAGCTGCGAGGGGGCCAGGTTCAGATGACTGAACACCCCGACTTGGAAGTCACTAAAAGGCAGCCTAAGACCGAGATCCCTGAATACAATCTCATACATAGGGAACGCATATTCAATGAACTCCGAGCAGATACGAGCGTCAATCGTCGGCCTCATTATTCTAAAATTCTTTTGAAATCCTTCCTGAGTGCCTCTGTGCTCAACGACGATATAAGCTCGCCGGCTACGATGGCAGTACGCCGAAGCAATTCCCCGGGGCTCAGCGCCCACCCAGTCCAGCGTAGGGTCGTTGACAGTGTCGACCAAGGTAACGTTCTCTTCTGTACTTGTTTCCTCGACGTCATTATGTCTCGAGGATTCCAAATTATCGGCCATTTACCTACAAAGCACAGGAAACTGGTGAATTCGACAGCAAATCCGCGTGCTCGCCACAAAGGCGGGGAGAAGTACACAACGCTCAAATCAAAACTAAAGCCAAACACCGACACCCCGGCTCCGACCACGCATCAATCATGGATGGCACGAGCGTAACATGAGCGCCCCGGGCGAATCGTGAATCATGCGACCAAGTTTCTGACTTCGCCTACCCGATACTAGAATACTGCGAGGAGACTACCCTACATACTTCCTAAAAGGATGATTATCCCAGCCAAGTTCATGAGTATGTCGACCAAACACATGAGTATCACGGGCAAATCGTGAATCATACGCCTAAAACCATGTGTATCTCGAGCACAACCATGAATCAGGCGCCTAGCGCGCTTGAATCTACCGGGCATTACTTCCAAATACAGGTTTTTAATATAAAAAATGTCGTCAAAGCTATCTACAACACAGGGAAGCAGGAAGAAGGGATACTTACTTGGAAGAAGAGGAGTACAAATAACGGAGGTGGGAGTAATCAACGACGAACGGTGCGGCGGTCTCAACGGCGTTACGCAAACCAACGGCTGTGGAAACAGAGAAAGAAGGAGGAGCGTGAAGAGGAAAAACAGATTATGGGCCCAAGGGTCCTATTTATAGAGATGACGTGGAATGTGAAACGTCGCACCGGGGAGACACGAACTTCCCCCGTCCTCGACACCTACCCACCTAGGCAATGATGACCCTATTTACTAGGGCGACATTACAATTCCCAAGGACTACGCTATGTGTCCGACAGACGCAACCCATATATCCCCGCGAGCGTTCCTCGAGCACGCCTCGAAAGGCAAAGCCCCGAGTCGAGCGTGAGGTCCCCGCGAAAAGAGCAAAACTGAGATCAAGTCATAACTCCTGTGCCAGGAACAACGACTTGGGGGGCCCCTGTTCTGGACTGGGCATACCTTAGCCCAAAACGCCCGTAAAGGCCCAGATCCAAGCAGTTCCCCGTGCTATGCTCGGAATCAGACCACCCCGAGCGTACCCGAGTACAGGCTACAGCAGTTATGCCCGTGGCTACCCGCAACGGGCAGCGTCTCCGACTAAGTGCACTCCAGCTCGAGTCTTGCTCGAGCATCTTCCCCGTATGGCAGACTCTATCCCCTTCGAACGCTATGGGATCCTTAAAGCTCCGGAAAGACCGCGTCTCCGTTCTTCCTCATTCTTCGCAGAGCACCATCCATGAAGGGAACCACGTGCGGGTCCCCACTACACACGTAGAACCTCGCAGTCCCTTTGTTGGGCCAATTTTGGTCAGTCCAATAAAGGAACCTTGACCCAGCGCTGGGGGCTATAAATACCCTCTACTTCAAGAGGGTCAGGTATTCAATCATTACACACCTACATACTTTTCGCCTGCCCATTCCGTCTCTCATTTTATCATCGGAGTGTCTTGCAGGTACCTCCATCTCATTCAAATCCAGTTCGAGTCAGCTGTGACGGTCCAATTCTGATCCAGTCAGATTAAAAAACATGAAAGTTTTTTATAAAAAAAAACATAATCTAAGAATTAGAGATTAAAGACTAACTAGTTTGATTTAGTTTAGTAAAATCATTTTTTAATTTTTAAAATTTAAAAGATAAATACTTCTTTGTATGAATTATCATGAAAAAAAACGAATAACGAATTACTGAATATTGTATTCCCAACTGTAATATTTTCTATTTATTTAACTCTTGTCCTTCTAGCCCAATTACTTCCTAATATATAGTAAACCTCAATTAAAAAAATATAAAATTGATTTGATTATTTAATTTTATAAAACTGTTTTTTTTTATAAATTATTCTATTTATAAGTTTTGAAAAAAAATAGATTTTAGATACTTTTTTATTTTACAAAATATAGTGTAATTTTAAAATGCAAAAAAAAAAAATGTATGGATCATCTTTTTTATGAAGGCAAATGTGTCTATCAAACAAAATTTTTCATCTTTAAAACAATTTTCAAAAATAAAATTAGCATAAACAAAACTCATTCAAACAAACCTAATTTTTCTTCACATTAAAGTATATTTTAGAATAGGAAGTAAAACTCCTCTACAAGAAATTTAACAACACTGTATCTCCAAAATTTGGTATGAACTTTAAACCTCACAAACTTAAAACCTATTTGGTGAGTATGAAAGCTTTAATATTGAAATGTAAAGTTAATTTTTTACCCTTAATCTATCTTTTAATAGTGTTTTTGCATTGGAATAAACGAATAATTTTGGTAGCTGGAAAAATATATTAAAGTTGAAAAATTCATAGAAGAGTGCATTTACATTTCTGGGCATAAATGAGTATGCACAAATTAGTAAACGACATTGACAGTATAGAAGGCTCAATTCAATATTCTATTCCATTTGGCATTAAAAAAAAAAGTAAAGATGAAAATAAAGGCCACATCATAAAATCTAAAATTCATCGATAAAAATCAAAACATGAACATAATTTAAAATCTACCGAGGAAGAACTCGAAGTAGGTTCACGACTTCAGAAAGCATGCTCACCAACTTCTTGTAGTCTTCTTCTAGCCTGTCCACTCTTTGAGCACATTCGGCAAATCTTTCAAAATCTGCTCTGGTCAAGGTCACTACTTCGTCATCATTATAATCAGAAACAGTAGAAGCATTAGCTAATTGATCAAAAGTTATCTGAGATTTTCCTTCGGAATGATCTGGATTCAATGTCATTTTCTTATTCAATGAGTTGTGACACAAGGAAGCTACTCGTTGCAAGATGAGGGCTTGTTCAACAAGACGTTCCAATCTCTTTTCAGGTATCATCACAGTCGGGGGAATCAGATCCTCTAGTTCCTCCAACAGTTTCGACCGAGTCCTCAAACCTTGGCCAGACGGTGACAACATGCATGAAGAAAGTTTGCGAATTTTAGTACTATCAACACAAAGATGTGTAATCTCAGTCCTCAATGTCTTCAATGCCTCCATGACCTTATCCTCGCCAAGAAGCTCAAAAAATTTCTGCTCTAATATTAAAATTGTGGCGGCCTTGATAATGCTTTCATCTTCTAGACCAATTTGATTCAATGTGGCTACACTTTTGTCCCAGTCACCATCAAGTATCTGCTGCTTAAACAGATTCACCACAAAAGAATTCAGAGGTATGCCAGACTCCTCCTCTAAGTGTTCCCCACTCTTCCTGTAACCAAGAGAATACAATGCCTTAGTGATCATCCGTACAAACTCCCCTCTTTTTAAGACCCCTTTTGAAGCAACATTTTCGTCGTCCTCTTTATCTGATATGTCACTTGAACATACAACATGCACCATAGAAGATGAACCGTTAGAGAAACTGACTAACTCTTTAGAAGACAATTTTGCTCGTTTCAAAGCTGGTTCTTTATCTTCCATGCTTTCCATGAAAAAACAACCAGTAACAAAATGCCCTACAAAAATGGGTATGATAAATTTCTGCACATGAACAGCATAACTAAATAATCAAATACCGTAGAACTCAATAATGCATTTTGAAATACTTATTTGGTGTTACCATAATAAATAAATAGCCTTGAAGCTTGTTTCTGTTTAAATTTCATAGAGTGTATTGTATCGTTCTTTGTTTTGAAATATAAATAATTTGTATTCTTGTTTACTTGAATTACTTCGGCCATATACTAACATGTTATGCAACAAGGAAATGGAAAAAAGTGTTGAAAAACTGCTAACATAGATATAAGAAAAGTAAGCTGTCTAACCGCTACTGTCTTCTATGTCCATTGCCCACTTAAAAACTTCTTATTTTCCATTGATAAACGGAATTAAATGTTAAGGCTTTTTTTTGGGAGTTTGAAGAGAAAGATGGATTAAAAAGAATCGAGAGATTTAAGGGCGAGAATTTTTTATATCTATAAGTTTTCTCTCTGCGTGCCTAAACCATTTAAGTTTATTTTTCACTATCTTTTCTATCATAGCTGCTACCAATGTTTAAAAACTCAAGAGTTTATGCATAATCGATAAAGGATTCAAAAATTGTAACTCGAGAATCTTAAAATCCTCTAGTTTTTTTTTCTAAACCCTAAATTGTTCCAACAATGAACAATTTAAGGTAAAGACTAAAAACACAAAGCTATATTTAGAATCAAAACACACTACACTTCCAGTACAATTTCAAACCCTACGGAACGACACCAAAATTGATAACAAACTCATCATTTGAGAACAATAAATTCGACTTTCTAAGATAACCAACAATAATCACAACCTCATAACAATTTGAATCGAAAACCAAAAATCCAGGAAGAAGAAAAAATATACGGTGGTGATAATGATCAACCTTCTTACCAGAGAAGCGATATGAAAGTCGCCGGAGGCCGATGAGCAAACTGCCGATTGCACCTTCTTATTTTGTTTGGCCTCAAACCGTTCTCTTCGTCTTTCTCCCTGCAGTTATCGAGGCAGAGGAAGAGAATGATGTTTGAGTTCTATAGTAAAAGTAATAAGTTTTAGATCTTCAAATTGTACATTTTTAGAATTGGCAGTTAACCTCAAGATTGGCGGGTCGGGTTACCGAGTGGGGAATGACCCATTTTCAAAACATTCATTTATGTGCATTTATCACATGAGGTTAGTGTATCCAAATATGTCTATCTAACGCAATAATAATCACATAATTGGTTATTATGACTCTTGATTGGAATTTAATTGCATTTATATTCCGAGTCTCATATTTAGAGATGGCAATTTGACCTATTTTTAGTGGTCACTGGCAAAAAATATTCATTGGTAGGATAAAAACCTACAAACATGGATACAAACAATTACTCAAAAAAATAAATGGGTATAGATGCTAATACAGGTATCTTAGTATTCATCTAGTCCTATTATCTGCACAATATATATTTTAATTTTTTTTATTTTTTTATTATATATACATGTTATTTTATTAATTTTACTGGATACATCATTATTAAACATACGCATTTTAATATAAATGTTTGTTTATTTCTTAACTCTATAATATCATCCTTGAATTTTTTTAATGTTCTAAAAAACTTAAAATGACATGATAAATTATAATTGATGGATTATTTTTTATTAGAAATGCGGGTAAACGGGTATGGGTACTTAGGTAACCATAGGGTACGAGTATAGGCACAAACGTTGTTGTCCATGCGGGTATGGGCTCGGGTACGGGAATTTTTTCAACCCGCGGGTATAGGGACGGGTACTATAGTACCCTGTCCATTGTCATCCCTACTCATATGAAGCTAATGGGATCAGTATAAAAGGGAGCAAACTTTAAACCTGAAATATCGAACTTAATTCAAACAAAAAAGTCATCTATTATAGCTCTTCTGATCAATATTAGAGGAGTTATTCCACTAGTATTCTCTGCGTGAACATTTGGCGTCCATTGTATGACTTTGGTAAAATTTATTTAGGCCACAAAACATTGCAAACCATCGATCTCGCCATCCTTATACGATAAGAGCAAGCAACATCAATCAGGAAACACTTGCTACAATGGAAGAACTACTCATCGTCGGGGAAGACCTACGCCACCCGAACAAACTATTGTAGGGCATCATGCACGCATTGCAACAAAATCAACATTACCCTCTACCAGAAGACGATGACTTGGAAGACACAATCAATCCACAACCTCTAACAATGGAAATCAGGGACAATCAAGTCCTAGATAATTTTAAGTCGCCTTAGTTAGACGCTTTTGATGGAAAGAGTGACCCGTAAGAGCACACATAAACCGTCAACACTCAAATGGCTATCATCATAGCTAACAACTCACTGAAATGAAAATTGGTGGCATGCATGCTGAAGGATGTCACCCTAAGTTGGTACACAAGACTTCCCAAATTCTATGTAATCAACTATCAATTTCTGGTGAGGAAAATGATACATCAGTTCTCCACTAGCAAACACACCTAGGTGTCGGCCACCAGCCTTTTTAATATTCGCCAAGGATAGACCAAGTCGATGCGATATTACCTAACTCATTTCAATGAAAAAATCATCAAGGTCACCCATCCTAATCAATAGATGTTTCCAGGGGCCTTTCATAATGGTCTCAATGTGGGGCAGTTTAATGAGTCCTTAACACATAAGTTGATAATAGCAATAGAGGAGATAATAATGCGAGGAGAATGTTACATTAAAGGAGAGGAGAGTGAAGAGAAATCGCGATATAAAACACACTGTAAAATAAATATTTCCTTAAATCGGTCCTTACGAATAATGCATGATAAGTGATGGAAACAATTATCACTTGTGGAGATTAACACCTTTGATTTGGAATCAGATGAACGATCACAAGCGTAGAACAAAGAACAACTCCTTTACTCAGTCCACACAAACAAAGTAAATTCAATCTCAGTACTAGCTATAACAAATGAAGACCTTGAGAGAGAGAGAGAGAGAGAGAGAGAGAGAGAGAGAGAGAGAGAGAGAGAGAGGATACGACTAGTGTTTGTAACACTCTAAATTTAATCTAAGACATTACTTTAAAATTCTCATTTACTTTTATAAATTTGACTTTTTTTTTGTTTAAACAAAGAAATCATCCATGCTAAATTCTAAAAACTATAATTAAATGAAAATTATTAAAATAAACTATTTACGATGTTACAAATCTTCGTCTCTAAAATATGATAATAAAATAAATTTTCTAACAAATAAAATTACAAGTTCAAAACCCTTTATTGAATCTCATGAATGTCCATCATATTTTATCTTTGTAGCTTTACATTCTAAACTCATCAGTATCTAATATGATATTTGTAAGGAGTTAATCATCAATGTTCTATATCAAATCAAACAAAATATATTGTACGACATTATAAAACAAATCATACAAAACATAATAGCTTAACCAAAACCAAATCCATAAAATCTTTTTTCTACAATTATCTTTATGTGTGAATGTTGTACCCCAAATTTTGACCTAAGATACCATCTCCCATCTGCATCATTACATTGCAAGTGTTTTGACCTATTTTTATCAATTTTCAAAGCAGATTTAAAATTCATAACTTTTTCAAGTCAAGAGCTGTTTATTTTTTTGAACGTTAAATTTATTAATTGATCAATGCTAAAACAATGTTTATTAATTATTTATTATCTTAAATTTAAATAATTGGAATTTATTTTCAGTTATTATATAATTTAAAGATTTATAAATAATAAAGTAAATATTTGAAAAGAAGTTTATTAATTGATCAGACGATGTTTATTAATTATTTATTATCTTAAATTTAAATAATTGGAATTTATTTTCAGTTATTATATAATTTAAAGATTTATAAATAACAAAATAAATATTTGAAAAGAGTTTATTAATTGATCAACAATGTTTATCTAATTATTTATTATTCTAAGTTTAAATAGTTGAAATTTTATTTTCAGTTATTATAATTTAGAAGAATTATAAATAATGAGGTAAATGATTGAAGAGAAGTTAATTGATCAATGATGTTTATTTAATTATTTATCATTCTAAATTTAAATAATTGGAATTGATTTTCAGTTATTATATAATTTAAAGAATTATAAATGATAAAATAAATAATTGGAAAGAAGAAAAGAATTAACTGAAATAATAGAATTTTATTCATCTTTATTCTAATTATTACAATTGTTGTTTAAATACTGTATTATGTACAAAGTATTTACAATGACAATTACATAAAATGTTTAAAGTAAAATAAAGACTATTTTTCTAAGATTCCAAATCTTCATCTTCTATCCAATGCTTCTTTAATGCTCATTTGATTTTACCTGCAAAAGAATTAAAAGAAAAGTCAGAAATGAATATATAATTAAAAGCAGAAAATTAATTTAAGCGTTCATCATTAAAAGCAAACGGCTGGAATCAGTTTTTACCCTTTTTGCAAATCACGGGATTTCTCCCGGTTCACAAAAAGGGATGAATTTTTATTGATAAAAATGAATGCACAAGTTAAAAATATGCACAAATTCATTTTTTTGTCAAAATTGCACATTTTAATTGAAAACTGCATAATCCAAAACCAATTACACATTTTCAAAGCCAACTGCATATTTCAAAAGCATGGTTCAACAGTAAATTGCAAGTCAAGTTGCATTTTCAACACATGCCAATTCCAACGTAAACTGCCAAGCATGTGGGAAGAGGCCAAAATACAAAGGCTCCTTACTGTTACATGTAATTGACAAAGAGAAAGGTGCAGTTTAAAATCAAAACTATGCAAGCATATATTTCTATTTCTCATCATTTTCCAGCTTTCACTTTTTCAGAACTTAAAAGTACATACATCATTTTAATGTCAACTGTACTGAGGAGAGAGACGAGAGAAAGAGTGTGGGTTTTACAGGTTTTGGCTTAGGCAGAAAATGGTTACAAAACAAACTGCAACAGCATCCAATAA